TGGGATGTCTGTGCAGGGACAGATGTTGGACTGGATGATCCTTGTGGGTCCCTTCCAATTCAGGATGTTCTCTAATTCTGTGGTTTTTAATACATCAGTTCTGGAGCTGGATTCAATCAGCCATGAGAAGACAGTTTCCTGCTGTCCTTCATATGTCTGCAAGCTCAGTCACACAACTGAGTTTTTGTGGTTTAACATGTTCTTGGGCACCCTCAGCGAGTGTGCAAGTGACTACCAGCTGAGTGGGGCAGGTGACATGCCTGAGGGTTGAGGTGCCATCTGGAGGGACATGGACATGCTCAAGTGAGACCATGTGAACCTCTTGAGGTTCAACAAGGCCAGTGTGAGGTGCTGCACCTGGGTGAGGGCGGCCCCTTGTGTCAACACAATCTTTGGATGAAGGGATTTGGAGCAGGATGAAGGACTGAGAACAGGATGAAGGAATTGGGGATGCTGGAGGGTGATACTGATTTAGGTTCTGCATTGGTATCAGCAAAATTGCCAAGGGTTTATTAGGTCTCTAAATATTTGGTAGCAACTGAAAGTGTCCCAAACATCCTGGTTGTTCTTTTTTTGCCTTTTGACCTTCAGAGAAACCTGCTGTCTTCATGAAAGCCTTGGATGACGTTTTTGGTGAGGAGCGAGGAGTGATCAAACTGGAGTGTGAAGTCTCCAAGGAGAAGGTCAAACCTGTTTGGAAAAAGGATGGTGCGAAGATCACTTCTAGCAAGAAGTATGAGGAGATACAGTCTGGGAAGACCCTGTGCCTCCTTATCCATGACCTGGAGAAGGCAGATGCGGGATTGTACACCTGTGACATCGGCACTGATGTGGCCAAATCAAAGGTCAGCGTTCAGGGTAAGTGTTGTAGACAGTGGCCTCTCAAGGAGTGTTAAAAATATGGGTGGGCTTTGTCCCTTGGGCTCTCACCTGTTCCTGAACAAATCTCACACAATATTGTGATGTCTGAGCAATTCTGTTAATTTTTGTGTAAGTATATCTGGGGTTTCTAAGTGAAAATCAGGTGTCAGGAATGTAGCGACAATATTTCCTTCCTGAACATCCCTAAAGTGCAGAAATCCCCCCAAAAAAGCAAAAATTTCTCAAAATAAAAATCCCAACTAGCAAAAAAAAAAAAAAAAATCACCCAAGCAGCCTGTTTCTGTTTTGAGCTATTGTAGGAACACAGAAGCAGGGCAATATCTGCTGAGGAAGATAATCCAGCTATTCAGCCTGTCCTCTAACCCTTGTGTCAGCCTGAAGGACAAAGAATTGTTCATGACTTCCAAACTCATAATGTTAATGAGAAAAAAAATTGATTTTGTCTGGTTTGAACATCAGGAGTAACAAGTCAAAAAACTGAAACATCTTATTTCTCCTATCATGGAGGAGAACCTCACCCATTGTCCCAGAGGCTTCTTTTCTGACAGCTTTTCTCTTCTCTAACTCATTAAATCTTGAATCTTCTCCACTGAGCTGTTCTTCATTCAGTCCTTCCTGTGCACAGCCAGGAGATTCACATTTCTCTTTTTGTACAACTTTGAGATGATTCTGAGCCTGAAAAATCCTTCCCATGTCACAGCCATCTGTGAGGAATACAGTGGTGTCCTGTCAATCTAGCAGATAAACTTCTCTTCTGAGTTCAAAACTTCATCACTCTACTCATGTCTATCATAAAAGCATTTTTAACCTTGTATTAATACAATTTTTTTTCTCCAGAACTGAACATTGGCATCACCAAGAGGCTCAAGAACACTGAAATCCAGGAGGGAGAGGATTGCACTTTTGAGTGCATTTTGTCCCATGAAAGCATTGATGACTTCAACTGGACGCTGAATGGGAGAAAAGTGGAAAGTGGGGGGAGGTTTAAAGCCTCCAATGCAGGTCGGAAATACACACTGAGTATCAAAAATGTCACTCCTGGTGACGCTGGGGAAATCATCTTCACTGCCCGTGGTCTCTCCTCCAAGGCTTCCCTGCTTGTGAAAGGTAATGGGATCAGAAAAGTCCTGGGTGTATTTTCATAAGATTTGTCAGCAAACACTTGTTATAGTCTGAATCAGCAGCAACCTTCCCTGTAAGCCTTGAAGAGCTGAGATTTTCCCTTAAAAAATTCTCTTTCCCTTTATTGTGAGCCTTGAAGAGCGGAGATATTCCCTTAAAATAATCCCCTTTCCCTTTATTGTGAGCCTTGAAGAACTGAGATTTTTCCCTTAAAACCAAGTGAAATGCTGAAGCTTTTAATGGATATTTGAGAGCTGACTACACTAGGTTGTGTGTACAGATAATTACAGCCCAGACTGTGTGTCAGAGATAATCACCCAAGGCTCCCAGGTGGTCGGTGGAGAGAAGAAATTAGTAATTTTCAGACATGGGTCATAATCTGTAGTTAGTAATTTTCCATAGAATCAGAAAATCCCAGAATGGTTTGGATTGAAAAGAACCTTCCATTATTTTATTCAAACCATGCACAGGGTGCCCAGAGTAGCTGTGGCTGCTCCTGGATCCCTGGAAGTGTCCAAGGCCAGGTTGGATGGGGCTTGGAGCAGCCTGAATAGTGCAAAGTGTCCCTGCCCATGGCAGGGGCTGGCACTGGGTGATCTTTGAGATCCCTTCCAACCCAAACCATTCTGAGATTCTATGATTTGAATTGCAAAAAACCCCAACCATACAGAGATGATTTTCATTCAAAAAATTTTTTTTTTTTTTTAATCTCTGCAGAAAAACCTACTGAGGTTACAAAACAGCTGGAGAATAAAACATCCCCAGCAGGGCAGGACATCAGCCTGAGCTGTGAGCTGTCCAAAGCTGATGTGACCATCAGGTGGTACAAGGATGGCAAAGCCATCAGGAAAAGCCAGAAGTACGACCTGCAGCAGGAGGGGACACGAGCCACTCTCATCATCCGAGACTCCACGGTCAAGGACAGTGGGGAGTACACCTGTGAGACTGAGACCTCCAAAACTACAGCCAGGGTCACAGTGCAAGGTCAGCTGAAGGGTGCAGAGGGGCTGGCAGGCTCAGAGGTTGGGTGTAAATATCTGCAATCATAGATTTCTTCTACTCCATCTCCCTGAGAAGGACCAATATTTAGTTTTTTAAAAAAACATCATTGATTAAAAGCTTAAAAAAAATTAGATTTGAAAAAACATATTTTGGATGCTGAACAATCTTATGGGCTCTGTAACAAGCCAATCAAAACTGGCCATTTGAATTATTCTGTTTTGAATATGAGCGGTGAAAGCTATCTGCAAGAGGAGACCTCACCAGTCCATGGACCATGGCATTAAACTTCCCTATGTCCTGTGACAGCAGGGGGACCTGGTGATCTTAGAATCATTCCATCTGATGGGATGAGAGGAAATGGTCTCAAGTTTTAGATTGGGTGTAAGAAGAAATTCCTTCATGGAAAGGGTGGTCAGGCATTGGAAGCGGATGCCCAGGGAAGTGGTGGAGTCACCACCAGTGGGGAGGATTTAAAAGATGTGTAGATGTGGTTATTTGGAATATGGTTTGATTAAGTTAATAGGTGGACTTGGTGATCTTAAGGTCTTTTTAATTATTAATGATTATGATTAATGATTTTCATGATTAAATGATTCTATGATTATTTTTTTGATGATTCTATGAGTTGGAGCAGAGAGGATCCAAGATGGTTCTGGATGCTCAGGACAGTTTGGGTGACAAATCTGTCTCAGCCATTTTTTAAAATGATTTCTTTTTTCTTCCAGAAAAACCTAATTATTTTGTCAAGGAGCTTTCAGACCTGAAAGTGGACGAGAGTGGAACTGCAGTTTTTGTGTGCCAGAGTGAGAGAGCTGCATCCTCTGTGGTCTGGAGGAAAGGCATCGCTGAGCTCAGAGCTGGCAGGAAATATGAGATGACACAGAAAGGACAAGTCCTCCAGCTGACCATCAAGAACCTGGAGAAAAGTGACAGTGACACTTACAGCTGTGACATTGGGGATGCCCAGTCCAGAGCCAAGCTAACTGTGCAAGGTATGGATGAGAGGAATGTGATTTATATCCCTTTTCTGCCATGGGAAACGTGCACAGGCAGAACTGTATCTCAGCAGGGTGACAGAGCTGCTGATTTCTGGTTCTGTCTCACTCAGGATAGCAGAAACACGTGGCCAAAAATATGGGAATGCAGAGCAGTTGGAAGCAATTACACCTGGAGTATTTTGGGTGTGATTTAAAGGCTCATGTGAGGACAGAGATTGGTGTTCCTGTGTGAACATAAAAAACATGCAGAGCAGTTTGAAGCAATTACACCTGGAGTATTTTGGGTGTGATTTAAATCCCCCCCAAAGGCTCATGTGAGGGGAGAGACTGGTGTTCCTGTGTGAACATAAAATGGATGGGATTCACAGTTCCTGCTATTGGATGAGGGAAAATTATCCTGCCTTCAGGCTTTTCTCCATAACTCTTCATTCTTCTTCCCAGGCATGGTTCCTAAAAGGTGGTGGAAAAACAAAATGATACATGGAGTAAATGGAATGGGTTGGGTTGGAAGGGACCTTAAAGATAATCCAGTTCCACCTTCCACCATCCCAGTTTGCTCCAAGCCCTGTCCAGCCTGGCCCTGGACACTTCCAGTGATCCAGGGGCAGCCACAGCTTCTCTGGACCTCCCCACCCTTACAGGGAAGAATTCCTTCCCAATATCCCTCCTAAGCCTGCCCTCTGGAGAAATGATTCAAGAATGATCAGATGGAGGTGCAGCAGCAGTGTCCACTTGCTTATCATTGTAGTTTTTAACACAATGGAGTAAAGTCAGACTTCTCCTCTGATAATCTGCTACAGCATCCTCAAGAAGCAAAGAAATGTGTTTAATCCCCATCATAATCTCAGGCTCTGAGCTGTCTGAATTCGCTCTGAGGTTTTTAACAGCAGCTTTTCTGAATGAAAGAAATACTTCTCTGTCACAAACATCAAAGTAAAACATCCCTGTGCTGGTTTTATAAGTAGGAGGAACATCAGAGATATTTTTGTATGCAGTGCTAACCTTATTTTATATATATTTATAGTGAGGTTTATCTTTGTATGTGTGTTTATATTTACATATTTATTTTTAGTTAGGGATGTATCTATCTATAGAAGGAGGTTTTTAGAGCAGATATTTTGGGTTTTTTTTAACCAAATTGATGCTCAGACATTTTCTCCATTTCCCACTGTGTTAGGGGTGGGGCTGAACTCAAAGAAGGTATAGGATCAGTGATCCTATCCCATAGAAAGGGAGTTATTTTTGCTGTAGAAAATCAGGCCGGTTGTCAAGGGAGAGATCATTTCTTGGTGATGTTTAGAGGCCAGTAATGCTGTCAGAGACTCCAAACTTTCCAGGGATTTTATCAGGAGAAAATTTACAACCCTGGATCTGCATTGTCCTGGCTACTTGTTCTGCTTTATGTTTCCTGATGCTTTAAAGTTGTCTTTGCCTATTTTGGTGTGTGTCCTGTATATTTTATCTTCCTGTGAGTGGGTTTTGTGGTCAATATTGGGGGAATTCTGTTTCAATCTTCCCTGTCATGAATGGGAAATCTTGGGAGCTTCCCCACGTCGATTTTCACGGCAGAAACCGAAGATTGCAGTAATTGATGTATTTATGTTCCTTTCAGGCCAGAAAGTGCTAATAACAGAAGACCTGGAGGATGTCACAGTGTTAGAAGGAGAATCTGCCATGTTCAAGTGCAGAATCTCTCCCGTAGACTGTAGCAGAGTGCAGTGGTTTTTGGATAAAACCCCACTCCATACCAATGAACTAAATGAGATCCAGTCCCAGCCTGGTGGATATCACCTGCTGACGCTGAGAAAACTCTCCCTGAAGGACTCGGGGGTCATTACATTTGAAGCTGGTGATAAGAAAACATCTGCCAGTTTGGTTGTTAAAGGTAAATCCATCAACACAACTGCAGGAGAGGAAATGATGAGTGGAAATGAGTGGGGTTGATGTGGGTAGGTGGAAAAAAAAAAAGGAGCAAAAATGCTACAGATTTAGCACCATCATTGTATATCTATGCATTTTCAATAACATTAGTTATATAATGAAATTCTGGCTGGAGAATGAACTCTTTGTAATCCTGGACAACTCTTAGAGTGTTTATTTGATTTAGATGGGAATGTTATAATGCTGTGATGGTTCAGTGGATGCCCCATTCAGTGTTCCTCAAGCTGATAAGGTGATAACTCATGAGGAGAAATCAATTAATTCAGTATTACAAAAAAAAAAAAGGGCAATCAGTAAGTTTTAAATTCAATTTTCATTGTTTGAAAGGTAACATTGCATGTGTGTTCTCTGCTATTCATTGTTTACAATGGATTGTTTTCTCTGGAGAAGTTAAACTGAGGTAAAACTGCAGTGTTTGGTAGCAGAGATAAATGAATGAAACTAATGGCAGACAGCCCAAGAATGTAGGATTGTAGAGATGTTTCCTGACTGGAAATATAAATACTTCTCATGGCCAAGAGATTTTAAACACACACTCTTATTATGTCAGATCATAATACCTTTTTTTTTCAGGATAACCACATTTATTTAGAAGAACTTTTTTTTTTTTTTTTTTTCACAAAAGTTGAAAAATTGCCCTTTTTTTTTTTTTTTTTTTCACAAAAGTTGAAAAATTGCCCAAATTTTGCTAAGCTGCAGAAACACAAATGGATTTCTTTTGCTTGAGGGATAATGAAAGGTTTTATTTGCAAAAGGCTAATTATTTATGTCCTTCAGCAGGAATATTTTCTTCTCTGTTTCTCCCAGACATCATTAAACAGTTTTAACAGTTAAACAATACTTTAGAACATCACTGGTGCCTTCCTTAGGGCTTTACAGTCACAAACACCAAATTATTTATTACAAACGCTGACCTATGACTTTCATACAAGCAATCCTGGATCCAAATCACACATATTACTTGTGATCTGAGAGTCCACACCTCTTCTGAACCATGATAGATGGGTTTTTTTGTATGAATTTGGAGAAGCCCTGTGTCTCCACAAAGGAGCTGGTTGATGCTGAAGTCACTGAGGGAGGGGATGTGAACCTTCAGTGTGAAACCTCCAGATCAGACAGCCCTGAGAAAGTGGTGCAAAGATGGGAAAAGCCTTAGGAATTCTTCCAAATGTAACATAAGGCAGTCAGGGCTTGAAGCAAAGCTTGTCATTCACAGGGCAGGAGAAAGAGATGGTGACAGATGTGAGTGTGAGGCTGGAGCAGCCAAAAGTGGTACAATTATTAATGTCAAGAACATTTGGGGTGATTTCGGTCCTAACACTGAACCCAGAGTGATTAATTGGAGTTAAAACCATGAAACTACACTGAGAAGGAACCTTGTGGTGTGCACTGAGCTGTTCTCATCAAGTCATCTGGAAGAGCTTCCAGAGAGGTGGCAGAATGTGAAACAGGAGAATCCTTCATTTAAGGAGCTTTAGTGCCTCTGAGCATCATGGAATTCTAGAATGCTTTGGGTTGGAAGGTACATTATAGATCATCTCATTCCAAACCCCAAAAAGAGAGCAGCACGAGCACACCCCAGGCTGAGGTAATCTCCAGAAAGGATGGGTCACTCCTGCAGCTGTCCCCAGTGATGGCTCTCCCCAAGGAGGGAGCTCACAGCCCCACATTTGTCTGTGCAATTGCTTTAGGCACTCAGATTTATTCAGAGCAATGCACCCAAAGAGCATCACTGGGCAGGAGGTGCTCTCTTGCTTGATAGGACATGGGGAGATAGTTTGAAGTAAAAAAGGGTTAATTTAATTAGATGTAATATTGTGTTTTTGGGGTGGCCTGTGGCAGGGAGGGATGGTGGATCTGACTCCATGTTCTCAGAAGGCTCATTTATTATTTTATGATAGCATATTATATTAAAGAATACTATACTAATCTATACTAAAGAATACAGAAAGGATACAGACAGAATGCTAAAAAGATAATAATGAAAACTTGTGACTCTTTCCAGAGTCCTGACATAGCTTGGCCCTGATTGGCCAATGAGTCAAAATAATTCACAGCAGAAACCAATAAGCAACCACCTGTGGGTAAGCAATCTCCAAACACATTCCAAAGGAGCAGAACACAGGAGAAGCAAATGAGATAAGAATTGTTTTCCTTTTTCTCTGAGGCTTCTCAGCTTCCTAGGAGAAAAACCCTGGGTGAATGGATTTTTCAGAGAATATAAATGCCACAGATGTAAGGAAGAAGTTTTTTGCAATGAGGGTGGTAAAACACTGTAGGAGTTTGCCCAGAGAAGTGGTGGATTCTCCATCCCTGGAAACATTCAAGATCAATTTGGTTTGGGTTCTGAGCTGCCTGGTCTGGTTGAAGATGTCTGGGGATGAGGCAGGGGATTGGAATAAATGAGCTTTAAAGGGCCCTTCCACCACAAAGGATTCTATGATCTAAAGGGCTGCTGTCTGAGCTGAGGCAAAACTTCTCTTCTTAGATGAGTCTTTTAACCTTGAGTTGGGTATGGGATGGGTCTCATCCAGGTCAGAACCAGGCCCACCAAATATCAACTTATAATTGCTCCTGCCTCTGTGAGTTAAATCTCTCTGTGAGTAAAATCACTGCCCTGGGCAGGTCTGAGCAGGTACAGGAGGATTTTACAGGCACAGGCTGTGCTCATCCAGACCAGAGGATGTCCTGGGTGCAGCTGGTGTTACACACTTTGGATGGACTGATCAGAAGCTGTGTCTTGATTGGGGAAGTCAGCATGAACAAAAAAAGCATTTGGATTGCTGGAATGGTCAACCTGAACCCTAGAGCACCGAGTGGGAGGTCAGGCTGCTCACAGGATTGATTTAAAGCACAGAGTACCAACCTGAGCTGTGCAAGGAAGAGAAGACCTTGATGATGCAATGAAGAAGAGCTGGTTGTCAATGATCCCGATTTTCTGTAGCACAAGGATATTTTCCCAATATCCATCACAAAACAAAGATCTGTGTTGACTCCAGTAGGACCTGGATGGACAATTTTTCTGTTAGGAAAGAACCACCTTTGTAATGTTCCTACAACAGCCCCATTTTCCCTTCACAGAGAAGGGTGTGGATGGATGTAGGGTTTAAAATCATGGATTCAGGTCAAGGAGTCAAGCCATAAGGATGTCTACAAGGAATTTCACTGTTGGAAAATTTTATCTGTCAGAGTCACATCAGAACAGCAGAATGCAGAAGAAGAAAATAGAAATTCAGTAGTCATGTGACATTGTGTGTCCCAAACTGGAGGTAAAAGGGGAACAGGATAATAGGGTGTAGATTTCCAACAACCACAGGCTTTGTGCAGTATCTCACTTGTATACTCTTAAGACAGCATAATTCAAGAAGAATTTATTTTTTCCTTATCTGAACATTTCAGTTGAGTTTATTTTTCCTCCAAAAGTGCCTTCCCTACACAAGCTCGCCTAAAAGCCTTGAATGGCATAGCCTGCAGGGGAATCTCCACAGGGACCCTGCCACGTTCATCTGTGCTTCCCTCTCTGTGTTTGCTCTGTGCTGGTTTTAAATCTGTGTCCATGCTGGATTAAAAAAAAAATTACACTGTAGGGTTTTTTTATGATGAGAAATCAATACTGCTGGTCAGGACAGACAGTGCTTTGCCATTGCTCTGTGTGCTCTGTGTTGTGTGTGAGCTGACCTCAGTGAAGTTTTGTGTTTTTTGTGCTGGCGGTCCAGCTCTGAGCAGCCATCAGCAGCACATTAACTGCAGTGCAGCATCTGCCACTGATGTTAGTAATGAAAGCAGTAAGAGCAGCAGCATCTTCAGTGGTGGAAAAGAAAATAAGCATCTGGCCTCAGGTTTTGGTTTTTTTAGGCTGTAAAGTGCTGGCAGCCAGATGTGAGATGTCAGCATCTGTTTACTCTTTGCTAATGCTTTTCCATTCCTGTGGTTTTCTGTTTCAAAAACAAAGTCTGACTCTAAAAGAGAAAAGTAATTTCCAGCCTCACGTGTTTCTTTTAACATTTCTGTTGCTCCTTTTTTTTTTCCAGAAGCACCAGTTCTCTTCAAGCAAGAGCTCCAAAATGAAGAAGCCAAAGAAGGAAAGCAGGTCAGGCTGACCTGTGAGCTCAGCAAGCCTGGCACCCCAGTGAAGTGGATGAAGGGAGACACTGTTCTCTATGCCAGTGAGAAGTATGAATTTAAGCAGCATGGGACTGTGGCAGAGCTCATCATTCGAGATGTGAAATCTGTGGATGCTGGGGACTACACCTGCAGTGCTGGGGAACTGAAAACCACTGCTCGGGTCAAAGTGAATGGTGGGTACAATTTGAGGCATGGCCACACTTAATCAGGTGCTTAATTAAACAAAAATCACATAACACTTCATTAGATCCATTAAACAAAAATCACAGAACACTTCATGTTTTGTGTGGCAGCGCCATCTTTAATAGATAAAATTTAAAGCTAATATTGCACCCTTGTAGGCACCTGGATGTAATTTGTTCATGTGATCTCATATTCTGTGTCTGGGGAAAAAAAAAAAGAAAATTAGTGCAGAGAATTAATTTTCTCTGTGCTGCAGTTCCTGCCCTATCAGAAAATAAGGATGTGAAAACATAAATTCAGTCCCTGGAAAACTGAAGGTGAACAAGTAATTAATAGACTCCAGACTCCCCAAAACATCCTTTCAAAGACTCTTAGGTGCCATCTCCACTCTCCACTGCCCTTAAACAAATGCACTGCCTTCAGCCGTGTGTGCTGGAGCGGAAAGCAGGAGAAATATAGGATATGAATGTTATTCCTGAGCCCTGCAGGAGCAGGGAATTCATTAGCTGATGGTGCCCAGAGCAATCTGAAAAGGTCCTTTTAAAAATAAAAGAAACTTGCCCCACATTTCTAGGAATCCACAGTGAGATGGTAACATCAGAGGGAGAGATTTATTCCTGCTGCCAGGCAGAATCTCCTTGTGCCACACAGCCAGTGGAGGGCCTGGGGCTGCTCTGCTCACTTGGAAAAGGCCTGGATTTAGGAAGTGACAGCTCTCATGGGGGGATTTGATGCAGAGCAGATCAGGAGGGCCTGTCCTAACCCCTGGCTCTGTGTTCCAGCTGTGCCTGTGCTTTTCAAACAAGCCCTGGAGAACACGGCTGTGGAAGAAGGGAAATCCGTCTCCCTGCGCTGCGAACTCACAAAAGCTGATGCCACCACCGTGGTGTGGAAGAAGGGAGAAGCCACGCTCCAGGCAAGTGCCAAATATGAAATGAAGCAGAAGGGGACAGTGGCAGAGCTGGTGATTCATAATGCAGAGCCAGAAGATGCGGGAAGATACACCTGTGACACTGGAGACCAGCAGACCACAGCCCAAGTCCAGATCCATGGTAGGAATGAGACACCTGCTTGTGACCATTTGTTGTTGTTCTTGCTGTGGTCCTGCTAAACCTGGGCACCTTCAGAGAGTGCTCAGGAAGACAAGGATCAGCACAAACATTCCTACCAAATCCATGGTAGGAATGAGACACCTGCTTGTGACCATTTGTTGTTGTTCTTGCTGTGGTCCTGCTAACCCTGGGCACTTTCAGAGAGTGCTCAGGAGGACAAGGATCAGCACAAACAAAAGGCAGCTCTAGCTGGGCCCGTTGAATTCTTTGTTTTTTGGGGTGATAACTTCATGCTAAAATGTATCAGTTAAAGATACTTGATAAAATAATCTTTTCTTCCCTATGAAATGTCTGATGCTTTGGATAGAGGTGACTGTCCAAGCTCTAAGCCAAGAGGTAAGAAGGGTCTCAGCTACACCTTTTATGGAAGAATATTCTGGTCTTTCCACTTTCTCAACAAGTTTTTACATGTCTGTGACCAACAAGTTTTTACATGTCTGTGACCAAATTCCTGCTAACCCTGGGCACTTTCAGAGAGTGCTCAGGAGAACAAGGATCAGCACAAACAAAAGGCAGCTCTGGCTGGGTCTGTTCTGTTCTTTGTTTTTTGTGACGATAACTTCGTGCTAAAATGTATCAATCAATGGTACTTGATAAAAAAAATATGTTTTCTTCCCCATGAAATGTCTCTTATGCTTTGGATAGAGGTGACTGTCCAAGCTCTAGGCCAAGAGGTAAGAGGGGTCTTAACTACACATTTTATTAAAGAATATTCCATTCTTCTCTCCACTTTCTTAACAAGTTTTTACATGTCTGTGACCAACTTTGGGCAGCAGAAGGATAATTATTTTGGTATTCTAACTATTAGGAAATAATTGTTCTCTTTTTTTTGGTCCAAAACTCTTATTTCTACTGTAAATATCAGCAGACTCCTGGAGGTGCAGGTGGGTCAGAGCTTCTTTGCTGTGTGTGCCAAGAGAATTTGAATTTGTATTGTCTTTAAGTCCTTGAAGTGTGAGGTCACCAGGTGGTGACGATGTGCCTGAAGTAAACTGGGAATGCTTCACTCCTCAGCTGTGCCCGTGCTCTTCAAGGAAGAGCTGAAGCCCGTGGAAGCTGTGGAAGGTGGGACAGCCACCCTGAGGTGCCAGCTGGGCACAGAGGCCCCCGTGGAGTGGAGGAAGGGACAAACTCTTCTCCGGGCCAGTAACAAGTACCAGATGAGGCAGGAGGGCACCGTGGCTGAGCTGCTGATCCACGACCTGGAGCCAAAGGATGCTGGAGACTATTCCTGTCTCGTGGGGAACCAAAAAACCACAGCAGCTTTGTCAGTGAATGGTAAAAAGGCAGAAATAACCTGTGAAACTCTGGAGTGTTTTTGTTCACCTCTTTCCTTCTCCTTTCTGTACATTCCCTCACAACAACTTCCTTCATGTCCTGCTTCCACTGCTTTCTTCCATCCACTTGTTTGTGTCACTCCTGTCCTCAGTCTCCGTTTCTTTATATCCCATGTTGGATGTGTGTGTTGTGTTGTCTTCTCACCTTCTTTTGAGTGAAGGATGTTGTCCTGCATGTGTATTTTCCTGAATTAGCATGGAAACATAAGATTTCTTAGGATTTTCTGTTTCAGAGGGTTCATCATGTGTAACGATGAGAATGGGTTTGTCTCTATGCATGATCTCAGCCAAGATCATGCCTTTGTTGATTCCCACAGAACAATTCAGTAGAGAATTTCTTTCCCACCCATGAAAAGAAACAGGATTTGCTTAAATATTGTGTTTGCAGGGTATCTTGTGGCAGGGAGGAATGATGGATCAGAATCCATATTCTTACAAGGCTAATTTATTATTTTGTGATACTATATTATATGAAAGAATACTAAACTAAACTATACTAAAGAATACAGAAAGGATACTCAAAGGATATTTACAGAAGGCTAAAAAGATAATAATGAAAACTCCCGACTCTTTCCAGAGCCTTGACAGAGCTTGACCATGATTGGTCATTAAGTCAAAACAATTCACATGAAGCCAATGAAACAACCACCTATTGGATAAACAATCTCCAAATACATCCCACATGGGAGCACAACACAGGAGAAGCAAATGAGATAAGAATTGTTTTCGTTTTCTCTGAGGCTTCTCAGCTTCCCAGGAGAAAATCCTGGCGAAGGAAGGTTTCCAGAAAATATGACTGTCAGAGTTAAGGGATAAGGGTGTTGGAGTAAGGCTTAGGTAGACACACGACAAATCCTAACAACCTCAGAGCGGGGTCTAGGGTGGCAATCCCTTTCCGTTGTGCATCTCTCAGCCCTGCCAGTCCGTTTCAAGCAAGAGCTGAGGAACGAGGAGGCCACAGAAAGTGGGACAGCGACGCTGCAGTGCGAGCTGAGCCGGGCGGGCGGCTCCGTGCGCTGGAGGAAGGATGGGAAGGAGCTGGTCCCGAGCAAGAAATACCAAACACGGCGGGAAGGGCGCTTTGTCGAGCTGGTGATCCATGACCTGGACCTGACGGATGCTGGGAGCTACACCTGTGTGTGTGGAGAGCAGGAGAGCACGGCTGCTTTGAGAGTGAATGGTAACCCTCCTACACACGTTTCTCTTTAAACCCCAAATGTATCGCCGGCTGGTACAAATCACAAATGGGATGGAATTGCCAGGAATGTGCCTTGAGCTGTTTGATTTTTCAGCATCAGTCTCATGACATGGTTATGACAATGGGAAGATGCCATCAGCTCACATCCCAGGCAGCAGACCAAGAACTTAATGTTACAACTCTATAAGTTTTTTGACCAATCACACAAAGCGAAAGCACATTGACAGTAGTTCTATCCAACCACTATAAGCTCATGTACCTTCAGTTAAAACAATACTTGCTTATTTCGAATACAATACCTGCTGGTAAGCCTTAAAACACAATGCACAGAGCTCTATTATTAAGCCTAGAGCTCCCTAATATCTCACTAGATAAACTTTTCTGCAGCTTAGGGAGTTATTCTAGACAAGCATTAACACACCATTGTTCTATTTGTCCTTACTTTTCTATTTCTTACATAATTTTTCTGCTGACAAATCTTATGGCTACTTCTTAGCTCTAATCACAGTTCTGCTGTCTCTGAGGCCTGCCTTTTGCAGCTTTCCCAAAACCCTCTGATTTTATGGATTCCCACACAAGCATAGCAGTTTTGGCAGCATTCCTGGTCAACCAGAATGTGATTTCTTAGGATTTTTGTGCTCTTGGCTCTGTAGTGCCAGAGTCACTCTATTAGTGAATATTCTCTTGTGCTTTTTTATTGCCTTGAGACAGCACCTGTATGTTGTATATTGTTTAATTTATTTCTCTCTGCTGTAGGACATTTTACCCCCTTTTTCAGTTGTACCCACCTAGAAACAGAGAATTTTTGGTTGAGTTTACACACTGCAGCCCAGTAACTCCATTTCATTCTGGTGCTGATTCCTTCTCTGTTGGTGTTGCATCCTTCAGCCTTGCCTGTCCTCTTCCAAGAAGAACTGGTGAACAAGGAAGCTACAGAGGGAGAGGCAGTCACTTGGCACTGCAAACTGAGCAAACCAGCCCCTGCTGAGTGGAAAAAGGGGAACACAGTGCTCAAGCCGAGTGAAAAGTACAAAATAGAGCAGGAAGGTCCCTTTGTGGAGTTGACAATCCAGGATTTGGATTTGGCAGATGCTGGGGATTACAGCTGTGTGTGTGGAGACCGACAGACTACGGCTGCTCTGGCAGTAAATGGTAAAAAAGAAATTCTCAGTGTGTGTTCCAAGCCAACCTGTGTAATTCCAAGATCTCTTCCTCTCTTTCTTCTGCTTCCTCTGATCCCTGTGCACTTCCAATCCTTCTTTCTGCTGATTAATTTTCCTATCCTTTCTTCCTTCTCTCTTTATCTCCTTTCACCTGAAACCTTCTTGATGTGCTTCCCAAGGTGCTTTAGTCAAAAGACAAGTGGAGAACGGGTTCCCAACTCAACACAACCTCCCTAGTCCAGAATAACTTATTGTTTAGAAGTTTTCCCATAAGAACTGACCTAAAAGTTGGAATAATATTGATTTTTTCTGACTTAGACTGTGTTACTTGTTGCTCCTAAGAGGAACAAATTTTCATTAATGTATGGTGCTACACAAGGACAGTCTTAATAAAAAATAGGCTTTTAATGCTCCTACTATTCCCAGCTCTTTTTTTTTTTACCAATTTTGGCTTAATACTTCCCAAGCAAATATTTTATTTCTGCAAAAACCTGACAGCATGTTTGCAACTGCTCTGCTTCAAGGGACTCTTGTTTATAAAAATTCAGACAGTGCCATGAATCAGGCCCTTCTGTAGGACTCCTGCTTTTCTCAAGGGAAGCAAAATGCTCTGGCGCTCATATTAAAATACAGCTTCTAATTTTTTGTCCTTGATTTTATGGTGTATAAAGTAAAGGGTAGTTAATTTGTCAACTAATTTGCAGATAGACTTGAATTTAAAGAAAGTTTTAAAGCGAGAGGACAGAAAAATTAGAGTGAATTATCTTTTGAAGGGTTAACCCTTTTGAAGGGTTAGAGGCTGGAGAAAAATTATGGAGGAACTAAATGCTGGAGGAGACCAAGAAGGTCTGGTGGCTCCAGGGAGATAAGAGAGGGATTGAGTCATGGATTCAGGCTTTCCCTGGGTTGATGCCATGTCCGTGTTTGCTCTGCAGTCCTGCCTGCTCTTTTCACCAAGGGACTCACAGACAAAGAAGCCACCGAGGGTAAAAGTGTCTCCCTGAGCTGTGAGCTGAACAAGGCCGCTGCTAACGTGGAGTGGAAGAAGGGCTTCAAGACCCTCAGGCCAAGTGACAAATACAAAATGAGGCGGGAAGGTGTCGTGGCTGAGCTTGCAATCCAAAATCTAGACACGGCGGATGCTGGGAACTATTCCTGTGTGTGTGGAGACCAGCAGACCATGGCAGTTTTAACAGTTCATGGTAAAACAAACAAAACAAGGCACATCCTGAAAGTAACTACCCTGATTTCTCTCTTCCTTTGGGCAGACCCCTGGTTACCCTCCCATCTCCTTCTTCAGCCAGACCTTTATCCACAGCTCACCAATGCCAGTGAAATGCATCCATTGGCATCCGTGCAGCTGGAATTTGTGGCACAAGAGGGATATTGGTGACCAAGCTCAGAGTAAGGCAAGCAGGGTTGCTGCCACTCTTTTAATTAGGGGCCTTCATTTTGCTTTTCCCTTGAAAGGTTCTTTATTAGACTCCCTGTTGTGCTCAAGACAAAAATGGGTTGCTTCAAAGGGATTATGTCTTAGGGATTTTAAAATTTTAAAAGATAAGGTTATTCCATGGAATCTTATGCCCATACTCCATTCCTGGGACAACAAAGTGCTTTTATGCCTACAGCCCAGTTGTCATGGAATTCAGTTGGTGTTCGGTGTAAAACAAGCCCAGAACTTCTAAAGGACACTCATTCTCAGGGAGAACTTTGAGTTTTACTGAACCTGACATCTTTGAAAGGGTATGTCAGTTCAGGTGAAAATGCTTGTTTTCCCACCATGTATTGAAATGAACAATTTCATTTCAAACTGACATTTAAAATGAAACTCCAGTGTTTCATTTTTTAAAAAAATGTAAAATGTCTCTTTGTTTGCTTAAGTATGTGGAAACAGCAAACATCCTCCCATTGTGGTTTAAAATGTCACAAAAGAAAACCATTTTCTTTCCAGAAATTTCAAATTGGTGTTTGTTCTTTTTGATTGAAATTTCACAGGGAAAAAAATGGTGTTTTGAACTCTATTTGTATTGATTTGTGTAAAATACCCCTATGGATTACTGCAAGCATTAAATCCTCTCCTGGTGGTGACATTTCTTTTCCCAACGCTGATTCATGGAGACCCACAAGAATCTCTATCCTTGTGTTGATAAATCAAGTTCAAGATAAGAGGGGAAAAGGAAACTTAAACATAATTTTAACTCTTTGGAGTGCTGCATCTCACTGCTGATATTGCTGTCCTTCAGCTTTGCCTGCATTTTTCAAGGAAGGGTTGAAGAACAGGGAAGCCACAGACGGCGCCACGGCCGCTCTGCGCTGCGAGCTGAGCAAGGTGGGCGTCCCCGTGGAGTGGAGAAAAGGGGACAAGGCGCTCAAACCAAGTGAAAAGTACAGGATGAGACAGGAGGATACAGCTGCAGAGCTGCTGATCCGAGATCTGGAGGTGGAAGACACAGGAGAATACACCTGTGTGTGTGGAGACCAGAAGACCTCGGCAGTCTTGACAGTCCACGGTAAAAAAGCCACTCTCCGTTGGGATAGCTCAAGGACATCCCTTTTCTCTCTCTCCCTCCCACTTGCTTTGGTGTTTTGATTCTGCAGCATTTTCCTGGTTTGCTGGTGCTGTTTCCACCCATCTCCCATTGTCTGTCAGTTTGAAACTGATGGCTTTATATCAGGGTAAAGAAAAGCTGTGAGAATTTCTCATCTCAGGGAACAGGAGTGGGCAGACATCCAGCAGAAGATTGTTCTCAGGGGGTTTCTCATTTTGTCTCCCTGACATCAGTGGATTTTCATGCTTAACCTGAAGGAAAGTTCTTTAAATCTGCTGAGCTCAGTCAGTGAGAGGTTTTTCCATTCAGGAATGAGTGACTGCCCTCGTCTTCTGCAGGATTTTGGTATATTCTGCTGAGAAAATGGTACTTCTATAAATCCCCATCCCTCAGCATTATTCTGCAGGTCCTGAATTAAGCACTAATGGGGGAAATTTTGTTCCTGGCTCTGCCATGGTGAATGGTGATGAGCTCTGGTTGCCCCTCCAGAAGGAGCAGCTCATGTACAGCTCCCATGGCTGGAAGAACAGCTTTTATTTAAGAAATCTCTTCGGGATAAAAAGCTGCCAAAGACAAGGGGAAATTGAGGAAGCAAAACTATTCTCCCAGATTTTCTGCACACTTTTTCTTCATCTTCTTTCTCCCTGCTGGGGGAATTTCTGTTCCTCCCCTCTTTTGACCTATCATTTTCATCCCTATGCGAGTCACTTCCCTTTTATTTTAGTGGCACATCATAAAACAACTTGTTGAATGCTGCTAAAAATCCTGTAATCCTGATATTCATGTCATTATGTTCTTGGAAATCTTGGGTTAAAGGTGCATCTTAAGGTATATTACTGTGTTTTTTCCCTGAACCAGAAATATAAATTATGAGGTTAGGAAAGGCAGCAGTGCTGTCACACTGCGGATAACTTTTAATAAAAATTCAGGTCATTAATGTTCAAGATAGATTATTTCAGAGTGAAATAGATAGAGAGGAGTATTGGAATCAGCTGTGAAGAGGTGAATATGGGCAAATTAATGTTAGAAGAAGGTCATGATGGAATTATCCCAGTGGGATCCTGCAGTAGTTTTCTGTTAGGAGCAGCTTTCCAGACTGATTTGTTTTCCTGTAACGGTGACAGACTGGCCACAGGCCCCAGCCCCGAGTTCCCCAAGGTCTGGTTAATGGTTTTGATGTCCTCTCTGTTTATGTTACACCCCATAGCTCTGCCTGCACTGTTCAAAAGAGATCTTGTCAATGTGGAAGGCACAGAAAACAGGACGGCCGTTCTGCAGTGCGAGCTGAGCAAACCCGCCCCGGTGGAGTGGAGGAAGGGGCAGGAGGTGCTCAGAGCCAGTGAAAAATACAAAATGAGGCTCAAGGACACCACTGCTGAGCTGACAATCCACAGCCTGGAGGAGGGAGATGCAGGAGATTACACCTGTGTGTGTGGAGACAAGACAACCACAGCTTTCCTGACAGTGCATGGTAAAATATCTGGGTTAAGAGGAATTTTCCGCGTTGTCATCTGTGATCCTCCTGTGGGATCACAATCTGCTCTTGGTCCCTTCTGTTATTTTAAGATGTGGCAGCTGTTCCAACCACTGGGAATATCTTCCACTGAAAGCCCTTCCTTTGGGACTGATAAACGGCATCACAAATTCTTTTCAGTCCCTGTTCTTTCCTGTTGATGGAAGCTGGAAGTGGATAATGAAAAGCTGGAAGTCAGAAATGAAGTCAGAAATGGCACTTTGGAGTATTTTAGCTCCTTAAATTTCTTTAGGGCATATCATTGAGATTTCACTTGGTTTTCTTGGATGAAGTTAAAAAGTGATGAAATTTTAATTTTAAAAAACATGGTGTTCATTTTAATTCTTAATCTGGTTTTGAGAAAGAGCTGTGCATATCTCCTTGAAATCTTGGGATCAGCTTTCTGGTGTTATATCTTAAAATGCTTTTAAAGCATACTTCCCAGTAGTGATATTTTAGTTTTACAGGTTTCCAAATCAGTGGGAGCTCAGGGGTTGAGACTCGTGTGGTTCTCCATGTCATGCCATGTCTCATATAATTAAAAAAACCCTCTGATTTATGAATAAGGTGTTTTCCAGCTGTCCAAACTCACTCTTTGATGGTTTTCAGAGTTGTTATAAATCAATGCTGATTTCCAAGTCATTGTGAGATGCTGAATTCGGGGAATTCTGTGAATGTGGTGTCTTGCAAGGCACAAGTCAGGGATGCCCCTGACATCACCCTTTGCTCCCAGGTTCTGTACATTCTAAACCATTTTGAAGTATTTTAATTCACTGGAGCAGTCAAGACATGGTGTTTGCTCAATTTTAAAGCGCTCTCTTTCACCTGTGACCTTCAGCCCTCCCTCCTCACTTTAAGAAAGAGCTGAAGAACGTGGAAGGCACAGAAAATGGCACGGCCACTCTCTGCTGTGAGCTGAGCAAACCTGGAGCTGCCGTGGCCTGGAGGAAAGGAGACAAAACCCTGGGGACAAGTGACAAATTCACCATGAGGTGCCAGGGCACGGTGGCTGAGCTGGTGATCCATGATTTGGCCCTGGAAGATGCTGGAGATTACACGTGCTCTTGTGGAGAGCAGGAAACCACGGCTGCGCTCAAAGTGAATGGTAAAAATCAAAAAACAAAAAAAAAAAAGGAAATGCATCATAAATTAGAGATGTTTTTCAAGCAGTTTTTTGGTTTTTTAAGAGAGTGGGAGTGTCAGCTTTGAAAGTGCAGCTCTGTTTCTGATGGGTTTAGCAAAATCTGGTTGGACATGGGAATAAATTCCTGGATGCTTTGGTCGGTGTCAGGCACAGGTTGGAGGTTCGTGGCAAAAATTGCAGATATTAATCCTGGTGCCAATTCATTTTTTGATCCTCATGTTCAGCAGTAGGTGCTGAGAAATGGAAAATCACATTATTGTGATGTTGGTTGTAAAGGTGTTGCCATCATAAAGCTGAGAAGATTTTTTGATGAGATACTTTTGAGACACTTATCAGTGTTTCAGTACAATTTGATGGTCAAGCACTGCTAGACCACTGTAGGAGGTGAAAATAAAGAATAGTTTGGGGTGGAAAAGACCTTTTAAAGGTCTCTGATGGAAAAGTGAAACTGATGCCTCAGGTATGGGTTCATTTACGAACTTTTTTAATAACAATTTGCATTTCCATAGAATTTAGATGCTTTGGCTATGCAAAGGCCAAGGTAGGTTTCAGTCATGCTGAAACTGAGACTGATGTGGTTCTTCACTTCATACCATGGATTTCACCCTGAAAAACCCTCTCTGACTTATGAATGAGGTGTTTTCCAGTTTTCCAAAGCCAGTCTCATGGTTCTCAGAGTGGCCATCGATCCTGATGGATTTGATTAGGCAAGGCTTTGCTTATCACTTGTGCTTGTCAGACCACACGAAATGGTTACTGGAGCTGCTGCCGTGGTCCCACATTGTGCTCCTTTTGAACCCCCCAGCCCTGCCTGTGCACTTCCAGGAGGAGATGAGGGATGAGGAAGCCACAGAAGGCGCCACAGCCACCCTGCAGTGCGCGCTGTCCAGGGCTGCCCCCGTGGAGTGGAGGAAGAAGCACAAAGTGCTCAAACCTGGCGAAAAATACACAATGAGGCAGGAGGGCAGCAGAGCCCAGCTGCTGGTGCATGCCCTGGAGCCCAGGGATGCTGGGGAGTACACCTGTGTGTGTGGAGAGGAGAAGACAACGGCAGCACTGACAGTGCACGGTAAAGGCACGGAAATGGGGCGTTTTTGGGTGGTGGTTGTCCCTCCTCCTCTGCAAGCCTCAGCACTCACACACCACGAGTTCTTCCTCTAATCTTGCCACCATTAATTCTGTTTGTAACAGACTTCCGTCTTTATATTGTGGTTTTTGTCTATTTCTAACCACAGTTGTAGTTCCATTGATTTTGCTGAATTTTCCCCTGTTTATTCTCCTTGCTCTTGTTGGTGCAGGGCTGTATTTCTTTGTAAAGGACGAAGGATGTCATGGATTTGCTTTTTTTTATTCTATTTTGACTTTATTTTATTCTGTTTACTGACTTTTGACTTGAACCTAGACAAATGGAGCAGCAGAAACATTCCTAGCTCTTTAAAAGAACAATTTTATTTCAAGTTGCATCAGGATTTGACAAGTAATTTTAAATAATGAAAAGAAAATTTGGTTCAGTGTAATTTTCCTTGTAACTCTGACCAAGAATAATGCTGATTTTTATTCAGGTACTAGAGAATACTCAGCATTAGAGTAGGAGAATATTTCACAGTCCTCAGCCAAATTACTCTGCTAACTTCCCATGGAAGGGAGGGAAACTTTATTTTTGTTATTAACACAAGACAGTCAGAAGTAATTTCAGCTTCTTTCTCACCTGGAAGTCCAATAAGTCTGAATTCGGGGAGATGATTTCTTTACTTTTCTGCCCATCTTCACATTTGCCAATACAACAACGATTGCTTCAGTCTTGAACTTCCAATTTAACCATGAAAAACAGAATTGAAATGAAGTTGTTCAGGTCAGTCCATCCTTGAGCCCCAAGTCACCATCATTGCTGCCAGAAAGTTGTTCTTTATATCCACAAAAGTCTTTCTTGAACTGGCTTAAGTAATTACTTCTTACAGAAGCAGAGAAATATTTGTATGAAATTTAAACCGAGAAGTAACATGACACTCCAAGTCACACATGTCAATTATGAGGATTTATTTGGATCAAATTTGAACTTTTTGACTTGAATTTTCTTCACAAACTGTTGTAACCCCAAATCCCTCACTGTAAATCTGCTTCTTCTTGTATTTGTATTGTTGTTCCTAAATAATTTCCATCTGCCCTTGCTGAATTGAAGCCTATTTTATCACCACTATTTCATAAATCTTCTATATCTTAATCCAGTTTAAAGAAGTGTTTTTACCCTTTCTCCCTTCCCACCTTGAGCTCATCTTCAAAATTAATGAAGCTTTGCCTTTCATTGTCTAAGTTGCTACAGAAAATGCTGAATAAACCTGAACTCGGGCTAGTGAGAAACTCTGCTGAATTCATTCTTTCATTGCGAGTGTAAACCCCAGTCCAATATCCTGTAACTGTGCTTTTCAGATTAGTAGCATCTCCCTTCTGTAATGCTACCTATATAAAAGTTGAAACTTTACTAAAATAATAATAATATAGGACATATAATATGTCCTTCTGTCAAGGAAGCTTAATCTACACCAAGAAAAAATTACCCTGATCCACTCCTTCATGAAGAGAAAAGCTCTTAGAAAATCTGAGGTTTTCAAAGAATTGAGTTCATAATTCTTCAGATTCTCTCTCTCTCTCTTTTTCTATGACAAGCATTATGAATGGGATTCAGCTTCAAGACTGAAGAGTATTCCCAAATTCCCATTTTTGTCAGTGGAGATCTATCAAATTCAGACCATGGGAATCAGGAAGACCCGCAGCTCATTTTAAGCAGGCAATTACATTTGGAAGTCTGTTTGCTCCACTGACTTTACACAAGTGATTTTTCTTTTCTTTTCTTTACTCTCTGGGATTTTAGAATCTCAGTTTACACAACAAGAACTAAATGTGTCTATTTCAGAGATATATTTTTCACCTCTTAGTTTCTGCCTTTTCCTTACTTGAGGAACATCGCCACTCTGTGATTTCTCCATATCACTGTCAGTGTCTGAAATTGGTTGTGCCTGCACCTTAAGAATTCCAGGAAAAATTTCATCACACCAAGCTGCTTTGAGAATATATTTATTTAAATATTTTTAATCCTTTTTTTCTCTTCCAAGCCAGAATTTTCTATTACTTCCTTAATTAAAAGTAGCATTTAATAATAATGAAGAAAAAGAAATTAAACACTTCAGCTTTCCCCATGTCCACTCATCATCAATTTACGTTCCTGAAAGAGAGGCAGACCAACATGTCCCTTGTTGTTTTCCTTCCTCCTAATCTATTTACATTAATGTCTGCACAGTTATCTCCACATCCTTATTCTCAATTATTTCTTTCTTGCTGATCAGCGTCAGGAGTTAGAGACCATCCTCTCAAGCTCTTTATTAGATACTTTAAATCCAAATGTAGTTCCCACCCCATTCCAAAGTCTTGGTGGATGTCATCCCATCCTGTTGCTTCCACATATTGCCACATTTCCATCCAGTCTTACAGTCTGAATAATTCTGTTTGTTGTTCCAAAAGGCATGAGGTGTCAGGAAGCACCTGAACTTCCTGGGGTGAGGGAATTATGGCAGATTTCTGCAGTGCCTGCATCATCCTTCTCTTTCCTTTTCATTCCTACCCAAGCAATTTCAGGATCTCTCTCTGATTCTTCTCTTCAGTCTTATCCTGACTCTGGGCTAGGTCTGAAGGCATCCTTAAAATTTAAATTAAAAGGTTATATTTTTTTCCTTTAGCTTTTTTCCTGATCATGGTGTAACCTGTTGTATTAATCTTCGAGGATGGGTTATACTGAGAAAGTTGCAGTTTTGACCATACATGAAGTTTCCCCATTTCTGCTGTTTATTTTCCATACATCTCTAAACCAATCAACAAATTCATTTAATATTTGCTGAAAGAAATGACAAGACCCTTTTTGTCTATGATACAAATCAGCATTTTCCTTCTGTGAGATGATCTTCATGTCAGGCAGGGATAGATATTGGTGCACATTGTTTATTTTGGTGGTGAAGAGCTGCTTGTCATGAGAACCTTTGCTGCTCTGTTTCCCAGCCCTTCCAGCTCTGTTCAAAGAAGAGTTAAGAGATGAGGAGGCCCAGGAGGGTGAAGCAGTGACTCTGCACTGTGAGCTGACCAAACCTGCCCCAGTGGAGTGGAGAAAGGGACACACAGCCCTCAAACCTAGCGAGAAATACAAAATGAGGCAGAAGGATGTCACTGCAGAGCTGGTGATCCACAGCCTGACCCAGAGTGATGCTGGGCACTACACCTGTGTGTGTGGGGAGCAGCAGTCCACAGCTTCCTTAGCAGTACATGGTAATGACCAACTCCATCTCGATGCCATCACTGTTGAGATTTTGGGTTGAATTATTTTTATCAACATTATCACAGTTATCTGGGCACAGTTCCTCTGAGTCTGACCTTGCGTGGCATGACCAGGAGGATGAATTTTGTGGTTTAGGGGTAAAACCTTTCCCCAGTTCCATATGCAAAGTGGTTTTAGGACCTGATTCCTGGAGCAGATGTGAGGTCAAGCTGAAGACATCTCCCCACCTGATGCCTTGTGTAATCTGACCTAGAGCAGAGACTGGACAGAGCTAAAAAATAAAGCAGGGATTTATTTAAAGGATCTCCTCCATGGATGCACCTTGGGCAGCACCAGAGCCCAGCCAGGGCTGCACCCAAGATGAACCAAAATGGCCCCAAAATGCTCGAGCGCTCCCGGGCTCTCTCCCTGGCATCAGTTCTGCTCCATTTGCACCTTGCAGTTCATTGTCCCATTCCAGCTTTAGCCCAGGCACTCCCACCCTGCTTGTTTTTCTCTCTCCAGCCCACGGGGTTTGTGCTCCTGGGCTGAGATTTGGATCATTTGTCCTTGGTGCCCAGCTGGAGCAGGAATTGTTTTGTCTCCCTGCTCTGTGCACAGAGCTCACCATGCCCTGATGTGGAGCTCAGACCCACACACTAAAGCAGCACAGAATGTGAAAATATAAAAGCTAAACCTGAGGCCTCACAGCCATGCCCTCACCTGCAGGCTGTGCTTGCTGCTCCCTTTAACCCTGTTCCCATTGCACCCCCAGTGCTGCCTGCAGCCATCCGGGAGAGCCTGAGGGACGAGGAGGTGACCGAGGGTCAAGCGGCCACTCTGAGCTGTGAGCTGACCAAAGCTGCCCCCGTGGAGTGGAGGAAGGGCAGCACTCTGCTCAGAGCCAGTGACAAGTACAAAATGAGGCAGGAGGGCATGGTCAGGAAGCTGCTTATCCAGGATGTGGAGCTGAAAGATGTGGGAGAGTACACGTGTGTGTGTGGAGAGCAGGAGACAACAGCGGCCTTGATAGTGCATGGTAAAAATAATACAAATATATCTCTATTATTGTGGGTTTCTATGCCAGCTCATTGATATTGCTGTGTGTTCACCTGTGGCTCAATTGTTTCTTTAAATCTCTAAACTCTCTGTAAAGTCTGGTTGTATCCAGGCTGCTTTTCTCTTTCTGTCTTTTGGTTTGCCCAGTGTCCCAGAACGATGAGGAAAACACCCTGTTTCCACCCTAAAGCGTTCTCTGCTTCTGTACCACCCCACCCCTCCTGTCACCCGTGTGCCACATGTCTTTTTTAATGTCCTCTGTGCATTTTGTGACCTTCAGCCCTGCCAGCCCTTTTCAAAGAAGACCTGAAGGACCTGCAAGCCATGGAAAGCCAAACAGCCACCCTGCGCTGTGAGCTGAGCAAGGCTGCAGCTGTGGCGTGGAAGAAAGGCAACAAAATTCTCAGGGCAAGTGAAAAATACATCCTGAGGCAGGAGGGTGCCCTGGCAGAGCTGGAAATCCGTGACCTAGAGCTGCAGGATGCAGGAGATTACACCTGTGTGTGTGGGGAGCAGCACAGCACGGCCTCTCTGACTGTGAAGGGTAAATGCAGATTATTGTCCATTTTCTATTCCTCTGAAGCCCCCATGGAGTGTCCACCTGTTGTTAACTTGTGCCCAGGTCTTGTTCAGGTGTTTGGTTTTGTCTGGCATTGCTGAAAAGGGAGCTGAGCTCAGGAATGTCCCTCCCTGCAGAGACACTGCTGTGTTGTATTTTTAAGGGAATTGCACCCAGGAAATGTTAGAGCAGATGAGATATTCTGTCCTGAGATAAATCCTTTGAATTCCACCGTAAATCTTGTACTTTGGCCTGTCATCTCAGCACTTCTTGTCTCTCTGCTGGATTTGGTTTTCCAGGTCTTTGTGATTCCTTGAGAAGGCTGATCTAGAACAGAAATTAAACAGAGTTAAAGAATAAAGCAGGGATTTATTTAAAGGATCTCCTCCATGGATGCACCTTGGGCAGCACCAGAGCCCAGCCAGGGCTGCACCCAAGATGAACCAAAATGGCCCCAAAATGCACGAGCGCTCCCGGGCTCTCTCCCTGGGATCAGTTCTGCTCCATTTGCACCTTGCAGTTCATTGTCCCATTCCAGCTTTAGCCCAGGCAGTCCCACCCTGCTTGTTTTTCTCTCTCCAGCCCACGGGGTTTGTGCTCCTGGGCTGAGATTTGGATCATTTGTCCTTGGTGCCCAGCTGGAGCAGGAATTGTTTTGTCTCCCTGCTCTGTGCACAGAGCTCACCATGCCCTGATGTGGAGCTCAGACCCACACTCTAAAGCAGCACAGAATGTGAAAAATAGAAAGGCTAAAACCTGAGGCATCATTTGTAGTGATAACCTCAACCTCAACCCCCTGATTTGGCCAGGTTTTAACTTCAGCTGAGAATTCTCAATGCTGAACACTTAGTTTAAATACACTTTCTATTGGCTTTCCATCCCCAGCCCTGCCAGTGCTTTTCAAGGAAAAGCTGAAGGATGAGGAAGCCCAAGAAGGAGCATCAGTGACTTTGAGATGTGAATTAACCAAAGGAGCTGCAGTGCAGTGGAAAATAGGGCCCAAAGTGCTCAAAGCAAGTGGCAAATATCAAATGAGACAGTCTGGCACCGCTGCAGAGCTGGTCATTTGTGACCTAGAATTAAAAGATGCTGGAGATTACACCTGTGTGTGTGGTGACGAGACAACGACAGCAACCTTAACAGTTCATGGTAAAAAGGACTTATTAAAATTGATAAATATCTCTTGAGATAGACATAATTCTGAAATGTAGTAGTTTCTTCCCTGGGTTAGTAGTGTGTTTTTATCCCTTCTTCCTTCATTCTATTTATAACTAATTTCTTCTTGGATGGGGTCGCTCATGGTGAATTTTTTTGGTCGTTATTAATCTGTCCTTTAAAAGGAGAAAATGAGAAGTTTCCTTTTGTGCAAGTCTCCTCTTCTTGGATATTTGCATTTTCCAGCTCTGACCCTGTAGGTCATTTCAGTCCACCACAGTTTCTCCAAAACATCCAGCTCTGGGCTCTGAGGTGCCTCTTCCCCAGGAACTGGAAAAGGAGAAGTGAGGGTTGGGGCAACAGAAAGAGGAGGAAATTCTCTGGCCATGTTTTTTTGGTTTTTTTTGAAGGCTCCAGATTCTTTAAAGAAGTCAGACATGCAGAGTGAGACAAGTATTATCATTTCAGAGCATAATTCATGTCGATTGTTTTGTCTTTGAGTTATGATTTCCAAAATGAGCAGTAATAAGAATCTAAATTTCTTATTAGATGTAATGGCCCTTCAAACTTCAGTTGAATGACCCTTTTAAACTTCAGTTTAAAACTTAGAGTAGTTTTATTTGGATATCTGTCTGCTTTCATGTAGTTTAATGAAAACAAACCAGAAACTAAGAACAGCAGCCTCCAAAAAATGACATTGGTGTGGGTAAAACAGTTCTGTATCTAGCAGTGTTATTTGTGAGTGCTGTTGATCTGAGGTTTGGGTCTTTCTGTTTTGTTCTTTCATTATAAATAACAACAAAAACCTAGGGAACTGACATCTCAGTTGGTGAATAGATAATGAAATCACATTATTCTCAAAGAAAGACATTTTCAGAGTTTCTGGACTTGGTTTTGGCTAAGAACATCTATAATCAGCTGAAGAAAAGGCAAGAGGAGAAATAATCTCAAAATAGAAATGAGGGTTTTAATTCTGGTTTTCTGCTGTCCCTCTGTCCATGTTGCATCCTCCAGCTCTGCCACCACTCTTTAAGGAGCAGCTGAAGGACCAGGAAGCAGAAGAAGATGCAGAAGTGTCCCTGCTCTGTGAGCTCTCCAAGGCTGCTCCAGTGCAGTGGCAGAAGGACCAGAGGATCCTCAAACCAAGTGGGAAATACAGAATGAGGCAGGAGGGGCTCAAGGCAGAGCTGGTGATCCATGGAATAGCTGAGGAGGATGCAGGACAGTACACCTGTGTGTGTGGAGAGCAGCAGACTACAGCTGTCCTGACAGTGCAGGGTAAAGCCATCCCTGACCTCCTCTCTCCTGCTGGAAACCTCTGTCCTCTGCTCTGAGCTGTTCAGTTTTCCAATCTGTCTCTTCACCCTTATTAACTGAACTTCCATTCAGTTGAAAATGTTCCCTGCAGGCTGTGGGAATTGGAAAATACCTGTCTGCATTTCTCTGTGCCATCCTTTTGCCTTTTCCTTTCCTTAATCCTGCTCTCCTTTCTTCTTTTCCTTCTGCCATTCCTTTCCTACCATGTAACCCCACTGTTCTTTGGTCTTTCCTTTCCTGCATTTCTTTTCCAAACCACAAATCTGTTTATTCTTTGCCCTTCCTTTCTGGAATTCTCAATACCAACCATTTTAATAGACAGAATAAGGGGTATCCAGAGTAATTTCCTGTGCACTAAGTTACGTCCATTTTGGGTTTTGTGCCCATCATCTCCGTCCTGATGCCCAAAGATAGATTTCCATTAGGAGACTGATTTTCCTCAGGAAAGAATAAATTCTTTCTGTGACTTCTTTCTGGTCTTCCTTTGTTGGAAGAGCCATTTGCTGGGCAAACAAGGCTGGTGTTTCAGCTTAACACTGCTGGAATGGGAAATGTGCCAAATCAGGGCTAAGCCTGTTTTCTAGCTTGGATATTTAACTAAGTCTGTAATACTGGACACAGATTTTGACATCTGAGAGATCCAACCTTGTTAAACAGATGAAATATCCCATTATACCACCTAGTTAATAGAAGGGCATACGCAAAGGTCACCACATTTATTTCAAGGATGCAAATTGCAATGGGCGCAAGAATTATGTTAAATGGGAAAAATGTGTTCTGAGACAAGAACCCAGGATGGAATTCAGCAGCTGGAGATTTGCTTTGGGGTCAAGAAGAGTCTGTGAGTCCTGGATGCTCCTCTTCAAGGATATCTCAAGGAAGAAGGAGTGAGGATGAGTGAGGAGCTGTGTCAAGTCAGAGCACAGCAGGGCAGCTCTGAGTAGGGGAAAAGAGAGTGCACAGCCATGAAGTTTGTGGAAGACACCAGTACATGTGAATTGAGGAGCTCAGAGCTGGTATTCTGCTTTTTTCTGAGGAGGAACCTGGTGGAGAGCAGGGGTAAATCTGTCGAGGACTGTGCAGTTTTACTGTAGGAAGCCAGGGTAAATCCAAAATTATTAGGGTGTCTATTCCCACAAGGATATTTTCATTTCTCTTTCCTCTCTTTCTGGCTAATGCTCATCCTTCCTTGACAACTTTCCTCTGTCACAACCTTCTCACCTTTCCCCTGTCACTTCCTCACCCCTCCCTGGAGACACCCTCAGTTTGTAACACATTTTACCTGCATCCATCCTTCAGCTGTGCCTCCGTTTTTCCAAGAAGAAATGACCAGCCAGGAAGGGGTAGAAGGTGGAACAGCCACTTTTCACTGTGAGCTGAGCAAAGCCCCTGCCTGTGTGCAGTGGAGGAAGGGCCAGCACATCCTCACCTCGGGCCCCAAGTACAGCATGAGGCAGGAGGGACGAGCTGTGGAGCTGCTGGTCCATGGGCTGGACCTGAGTGACACTGGGGACTATTCCTGTGTGTGTGGAGACAAGATCAGCACAGCTGCATTAACAGTTCATGGTAATGTAGTCCTTGGGGTGAACATCCTCCAAACCTGCCCAAATCTCCATGGTCTGTGCCTGTCCCTTTCTGTTTGCTTGGCTTTTGGTTCCTTTCATGGTAATGTAATCCTTGGGGTGAACATCCTCCAAACCTGCCCAAATCTCTGTGGTCTGTGCCTGTCCCTTTCTGTTTGCTTGGGTTTTGGTTCCTTTCATGGTAATGTAATCCTTGGGGTGAACATCCTCCAAACCTGCCCAAATCTCCATGGTCTGTTCCTATCTCTTTCTGTTTGCTTGAGCTTTTGGTTCCTTTCATGGTAATGTAATCCTTGGGTTGAACATCCTCCAAACCTGCCCAAATCTCCATGGTCTGTGCCTGTCCCTTTCTGTTTGCTTGGCTTTTGGTTCCTTTCATAGTAATGTAATCCTTGGGGTGGTCCCAAGGTTCTCCAAACCTGCCCAAATCTCCATGGTCTGTTCCTATATCTTTCTGTTTGCTTGAGCTTTTGGTTCCTTTCATAGTAATGTAATCCTTGGGGTGGTCCCAAGGTTCTCCAAACCTGCCCAAATCTCTGTGGTCTTTTCCTGTCCCTTTCTGTTTGTTTGGACTTTTTTTTCCTTTCATGGTAATGTAATCCTTGGGTGAACATCCTCCAAACCTGCCCAAATCTCTGTGGTCTGTGCCTGTCCCTTTCTGTTTGCTTGGGTTTTGGTTCCTTTGGACTCTCTGTGCTTCCTCCTTTTGTAAAATTGGGAAAAACATTCCCTGCTGGTGTTTATCCCCCTCAGCTCTGCTGGTTCATCTCACTTTCCTTGCCCTGATCCAGTGTCCAGGGAAGCTGGGGAAGTTTTCCCATCGTGTTCCACTGACCTGGATCAGGGCTTGGTGCTGCCCCGTGAAACCTCTCTCATCAAGCTTCCCTTTAAGGAGCATTCACCCTCCCTGTGGTAACTCTTTTACTCCTCAGTGCTGCCTCCAGAATTCAAGAGAGAGCTGAAGGACCTGGAAGCTGTGGAAAATGGCACAGCTGCTCTGCAGTGTGAGCTGACAAAACCCGCTGAGGTGCAGTGGAAGAAAGGGCAGGAGGTGCTCAAAGAGAGCAGAAAACATGAAATGAGTCAGGATGGGGCTGTTGCAAAGCTGGTTATCCATGAGCTGGAGGAGGAGGATGCTGGAGTTTACACCTGTGTGTGTGGAGATCAGCAGACAACTGCTACGCTGACAGTCAATGGTAAAAAACTAAAGGGAAAAGGCTGTAGGATTTTCTGAAAATTAAAATAGCAACTGTGGTTTAGTGTTGCTTAAGGAAAAGATTGTAAATCATGAGGTGTGCAGAATAGCTGGTCAATGCAGGTCATGGAGTGGCCAGGCAGAAAATGGGAATTGCAATGCAGAGCTAAGTGCATTTTTTCTGTATTTTGCTGTCAGAATAATCAAAATCTCTCCTGCAAGAGGCCGGCCTTAACAGGGCATCTGAACCCTTAAATTTCCTTGCCTTAAGAGGGAGAATGAACTCATGCAAGTCTCTGTATTAGGAGGGAATATGAACTTTGAAAATTCCCTGCTGATCTTCAGAACACTTCTTCAGTGATCAGGGCAGCACGCTGGCTGCTTTTACAGCAAGAAAACTCTTATTCCATTTTTAGATCATAGGTTAAGTTCTCTATATTTCATGGCAAATGTAACTTCCTGAAATCCATTTCTTCTTGTATTGTATTTGTGGGGACTACTGTGGCAGGAAGGAATGATGAATCTGACTCCATGTGCTCAGAAGGCTAATTTATTATTTTATGATACTATATAATATTAAGAATACTATACTAAAGAATACAGAAAGGATACTTATTGAATGCTAAAAATATAATAAGGAAAACTCATGACTCCTTCCAGAGTCCTGACGCAGCTTGGCTGTAATTGAGCCATGAGTCAAATAATTCACAGCAGAATCCAATGAAACAATCACCTGTGGGTAATCAATCTCCAAACACATTCCACATGAGCAAAACACAGGAGAAGAAAATCAGATAATTACTGTTTTCCTTTTTCTCTGAGGCTTCTCAGCTTCCCAGGAGAAAAATCGTGGGTGAAGGGATTTTTCCAGAAAATGTGAATGCCACATTCTTCCTCTGCAGATATTCCTATTACTTCTCTGGTGAAATAGCTTCATAGTTTGAATTAGTGCATTGAAGTTTAGAGACATCTGGGAAAAAACTCTCTTTTGGTGCTTTCATTTTCCCTCTACATCCTTTTTCCCAAGCCCCATCTGCAGCAGGTCCAAGTCATATTTCTATTTTATAGCCCTACCAGCCCTTTTTAAACAAGAACTCCAGGACACTGAGGCAGAAGAAGGCGGCACAGTGACCCTGAGGTGTGAGCTCACCAAACCTAAGGCTCCAGTGGAGTGGAGGAAAGGGGATGTCACTCTCTACCCTGGTCTGAAATACGAGCTGAGGCAGCAGGGCTGTGCTGCTGAATTGGTCATTCATGACCTGGAAGTGGAAGATTCAGGAATTTACACCTGTGACTCAGGACACCAAAGGACAACAGCAGTGCTGGATGTGCATGGTAGGCAGTGGTGACCCCTGGCTCAGGAGGAGTGCAGTGAAAGGAGCTTTTCCTGGTGTTCTCTGTTCTCTGGTGTTCCTTTGATTTGTTTTGTTGCTGGTCCACACCAGAATAAATGTTCGTCAGGGGCATGGCACACAGCAAAGTAGAAATGTTTTTCTTGCGGTATCTGGAGTGATTAATGGCAATTAAAGCAATTGAATGGTTTGGGTTGGAAGGGACCTTACAGATCATCCATTTCCATCCCTCTGCCATGGGCAGGGACACCTTCCACTAGACCAGGTTTTTCAGAGGTCCAACCAACTTGGCTTTGAAGGTTGTCATGATGTAAAAATACCCTGAACCCTGCTGCCCTGAGTGCAAGGTGTGGCTGGATATGGGAATGGGATAAGGGATGCCCAACTGGATGTAATCCTGCCTGGGACGTTTAGAGATGCATCAATTAGGGGATAAGAGATTTCTAGGGTACATGAATATGCTGTATTGTTACTGGAAGCTTTGAACTTTAGGTGCAAATGCTGACTTGCAGACAACTTGAATCCCCACCTGTGTTCCTTCACTCCTTGTACCATCCTTAACTGAAATCTGGATTTCCCCTCTCATTTATCTCCTCACATTACTAGATCATTACTAACTTGGTCTTTTATACATTGATAGAAGTTTTATTTGGGACAGAAATTCTCTGTTTAGTATTGCAAACCCACAGACCTCTATTAAGGGACAGGGATCTGTGTAAGAGAGGCCATTCCCAGTGATCTTTGCCTAAAGCATCCATACCTGGCATGGAAACTCTTCCATAGGAAAGTCTGACTCCTTCAGATCCCAAGCCAGGCCATTCTGGTTACCACTAAGACCAGATCTTTCCTAACTTTGCCTGTCCTCACCTCTTGGTTCCTTTAGTGGTTCAAGAAAGATTCTGCCAAGACAGAGAGTTGCGTAATCCCCAGGTTTATGGAATCATTAGAATAAACCATACCTGAAGGATAATGGGAGGACTGGATCCTTCTTGCACTAAAGCCCTCTTGAAATGTTTTCCTCTCAAATTTTCCAGCACTTCCCATCACGTTTAAGCAACCTTTACAAAATAAGGAGTTTGAGGAAGGAAGCACAGCCACGTTCTGCTGTGAGTTGTCGAAAGCCAGCGCTGCAGTGGAATGGAGGAAAGGAGACGTGGGGCTGCAGCCCAGCCAGAAATATGAAATGAGGCAGAGGGGATGCCTGGTAGAGCTCTTGATACACAACCTCAGATTAGAAGACACAGGAGAATACAGCTGTGACACGGGGGATCAGGAAACCAGGGCAGCTCTGAACGTGAAAGGTACGTGGTGTGAGCTGACTCCTCATGGAATAGGTTCCTCCAACTGGCAAAACAACCATTTCAATAGGAATACTTTAAAGTGCATTATTCTTATTCTCCACGAATATTTTCCTTTTCATCTGATATATTAGGATATTTTTATTTTTAATAAGAATGGAAGAGGATGATACTTTGTTCTTCCAGTGCTGCGTTTGAGTTTTAGGCTCTAATAGGAAATACTTTCAAGCTTTGTGCCTGAGGAGAAATTAAAGAAAAAGCAGTGATTTAACATAACATCTGGATATCTTCTTTGAATATTTAAAAAGAATATTTTCTTTCAAGTACTGGAAGAGAGACAATGACATCCCTGACCTCTCAAGGCTGTCCATGGAGTTTTGAAGTTCTTTGCTCTTGAGATCACTGTTAGATCAACTGAGGGATAAAATCCTTCATTGAATTCACCTCTGGGAAGGATTTGAGTGAAGAAATGAAGGAAATAAATGTTATGGGTGCAGATGGCTTCTTCTGATGCAGCAAGATCTCCTAGTTGTGCCAGGAAAATTAGAAAACCACGGATCCTACCTAGGAATATCAGTGATAAGCAGAGTATCTTGTTCTCCAGGAGTCAGTCTGTGCAAACCAGGCTTCACTGAAAGATCCTGTTGATCCTTTTCTTTTCTCTTTTAGCTCTGCCAGTTCTTTTCCAAAAGCAGCTCAAAGATGAGGAGGCAGAAGAAGGAGCCGCAGTGAAATTCCAATGTGAGCTGACAAAGGATAACGCGGCCGTGGAGTGGAGGAAAGGCTCCATGGAGCTCTTCCCATGTGCCAAATACCAAATTAAATTAAGTGGGCACACAGCTGAGCTTGTGATCCATAATGTAGAGCCAGAGGATGCCTCTGATTACACCTGTGACACAGGAGACCAGCAGAGCACTGCAGTCCTCAGAGTGAATGGTTAGCATTGCACCCACCCGGGCTGGAGGAGAAGAGGCGTTGGTGGAACTGTGTGAAAGGTGTTATTTAACCCAAAAGTTAAGATGAGGAGGAAAAGAGCTGCCCAGTCACAAAGCAGAGTACAGAGAAGTGGATTTGGTGGGACAGGGTTCCTGATTGAGCCTGTAAAGAGCGCAGTGCACTGACCCCTTCCTCTGATTAGATAAGGGCAAGGAATTCTGCATCATGGGGATTTTGAAATAGTAACAAAACTTCTTTTGGCACTTTGCAGTTTTGCTGGTTCACTTGAATCAATAGGAAAATCACACATCATTTAAAAAAAGCATTTTGAGGTTGCTATTTTTAGTCTCCATGTGAAGATCCTGAGAATGCTGGGTTTAACCTGACCAGGAATAATGTCTGTGATTGATCACAGAATCACAGAACGGGTCACAGGTCCAACCTCCCTGCTCAAACAGGGCCATGCCAGCACCATCTAGCAAACGTTTGTGTTTGTCTCAAAGTTGGGTAGAAATTGTGACTTTGATCTAAGCCATAACCTTTCAAACAACATATTTTTGCTAATTCTGACTCAAAAAGCAGTCACAGGGTCAACTATGGGTGAAAGAACCCAGTGATTGCTTTACCTGTCTCACAGTAGTGTTTTTACTGGAACCACAGGCACTTAAGATTTCTGTTTTTCCAACTGCTCACACATACCCCATGGATATCCCCTCCTTGCTTCTATCAGTGGCAAGCTGCTTTCTGAGCTGTTCCATGATCTACTTCAATAAATGTCCATTTGTGCATCATCTGGAAGGACTCAGTGATGACAATCTGGGTCTTAAAAAGACAGCTGAGAAATCAGAAATTAATTTAAAGCTTTACATTATTTAGCTGTTGAAAATCGGGAGTATTTCTGTAAAAGTCAAAAGCTTTACATTGGTTTAAACAGAAAGTGCCAGGTTTTGCTTGGTCAAAACCTCTGTGTGTTGGAGTTTCCAATATGCTGAGCAGATGCATAAAAGGTGTGATGTGGATGCCCTGGACATTATGGGATATAAAAATATTTGGGGAACTTTCTGATTCTCTGGATATACAAAATATAGGGGGAAAAAATGGCTTTATTATCATATCACCACTTAATGCAAAATTGTATTACAGCACCAGAGCCTGGGTGCCTTGTGCTGATTTGTGCAGAGCTGGCATTCAAGCAGAGAGCTGATGCATTATTTATTTCTCATTTCACAGCCATCAAACCCCAGCTGAAGCAGCAGCTGAGGAACGAGGAAGTGGAAGTGGGAGGAACAGCCAGGCTGCGCTGCGAGGTTTCCATCAGCAAAGCAGAAGTGGAGTGGAGGAAGGATGGAGTCCTGCTGCACCCCAGCTCCAAGCACGAAATGTGGCAGGAGGGGACCCTCCGGGAGCTGCGTGTTCACCACCTGCAGCCTGGGGATGCTGGGGAATATTCCTGCAAGGCTGGAGACCAGACGAGCTCTGCCAAGCTCACCGTGAAAGGCAAGGCCTGTTTATTGGAACAGGGAGATTTCTGAGATTTCCCAATGTGATTGAGTTGTATACACACACATGAAATGAGTTATTGTGTGTTGTATTTGCAGAGAAGCCGCAATGAAGGCAGGAATGATGAATCTGACTTCATGTTCTCAGATGGCTAATTTTTTATTTTATGATACTATATTCTGTTAAAGAATACTATACTATACTAAAGAATACAGAAAGGATATTTACTGAATGCTGAAAAGATAATAAGGAAAATTTGTGACTCTGAAAAGAGACCCGACACAGCTTGGCAACAATTGGCCAAAGAGTCAAAACAACTCACCAGAATCCAGTCAGACAACCACCTTTGAGTAAATAATCTCCAAACACATTCCACATGAGCAAAACAGAGGAGAAGCAAATCAGATAGTTATTGTTTTCCTTTTTCTCTGATGCTTCTCAGCTTCCCAGGAGAAAAATCCTGGGCAAAGGGATTTTTTCAGAGAATGTGAATGCCAAAATTGTGATCAAACGGAGCATAGTAAGGGTATAATTATAAAAATTATAAAAATTAATTTAAAAATTAAAATTAAAATAAATTAACAAAAATTAAAAATTAAATTTAAAAAATTTAAAAATCTTATGGTCAATGGATGCACCAAAGCAAAGATTGACTTGGTGGACAGGAGAGGATAAGTCAGCTGTAATCTGTGATTTATGGCTTGGAATATTTCGTTGACATCATGTGCATGGGACTGAACAGATGGTCCAGCCCCAGCTTCCACTCACGTGGCAGCTGCATCTGGCCTTGATATCATTGCAGAGCTCAGGTTGGACCACTGGTGTGGAACAAACACCCCCAGCATCTCCACGGGCTACTCCACGTCGTAGATCCCCTGCACATCACACCCAGCTGCACCAATTCTCATGCAGATGGTGACCTCAGTTGTAGAAATATCCACTGTGCTTGCTCAGAGGGAGACTGGGCTGATTTTTGAATGGTTTGACTCAATGATTTTATAGGTCTTTTCCAACCTTAGTGAATTTATGATTCCTTTGGTATTCCCCAGTGGGTTTGGGGGTATTTATATATTATTTAATCAGCTTCTGCCTGCTGGGGGTTGTGTGTATGATCCTTGCACAGGTTCCTGGAAGCAGGACTCAGGCAAACTGCAGTGTAGAAGCCCTCTGCTCACACCAACCCAGTGAGTCCTGCTGGGAGGACAAAGCCAGCCAGGGCCTCAGCCAGTTTGGAGCATCAGCGTGGAGTAAATGCAAATCTGATCACAGAAATACAATAGGGAGAGTCAGGCTTTAACATTATCCTGTGTAGATATCTAAGTGTAAATGGAACAAATTTCAAAATCCCGATTTTGAAATTTTGACTTTTCAAAATCCTCGTTCACCCAATCAAGCATAATTAAAAAGAGCAATATGCAACATGTCTCTTAGCAAGGACAAGTGGTAAAGTCACTACAAATGACAAAAGTCATTTGTCCTGCTGCCAAGTACACTGAAAGCAGAGTTTGAAATGGGGTGTGGGAGGCTGTGCTGTTCCAGATGATGCACAAATGGACATTAATTCCAGCAGAGCATGGAACAGCCTCTCAGAGGTTGTCCCCACCCTTGAAGGACAAGGTGCTGAGCAACCTTTGAGTAGTGCTTGGAGCAGGTGACTCCCAAATGATGGTTCCATGATTTGATCCGTGCTTTCCCTTTCATTTCTGCCTCCTTGCAGAGCCTGACGTGACCATCGTGAGCGGCCTCAAGGACGCCGTGGTGGCCGAAGGGGACGATGTCACCTTCAGGTGCCAGGTGTCCCACGAGAACGCCAGGGACGTCGAGTGGAAGCTGCAGGACGTGGCTCTGCAGAACAACGAGATGAACGAGATCTCAGTGGAGAGGGGCAAGGTGCACACGCTGACCCTGAGGAAGGTGACAGAGCAGGACATTGGCACCGTCACCTTCCGCGTGGGACCCCACACGTCCACAGCAGAGCTCAGGGTGAAAGGTGAGGGCTCCCTGTGCTGTGCAGCAGGGCCAGTGGGAACAGGGGGTGCTTTGCTTGTGCTGGCAGCAAATTCAAGGCCAAAATTCACCCCTCGTGTCTTGGGGGTGCTTGGTTTCAAAGCATCTGTGGCTGAGATCACCAGGGATGAACAGGGGACATTTCACCGTCTTCCCAAAGCTCAATGATTCCTGGAGAAATTACTAGCTTGGCTTCACTTCTTGGATGGGTAGACCTGGAATTTTCATTGCTTCCACCACCCTCTCTAGAATAATTGGGTT